TCCCGTGTGTATTACATCACATTCATTCTCTCGCTTCTACGCGCTTGCATTAGCATCGTATACACTACATTCCCTTCCTTGATCAAATTTAGCAGGAAGGCAGTTTTTAAAGGCTGCAAAAACCCTAAATGTTCAGCAAAACAAAGTCTTTGAATTAAACTAGACAAAACAAAAAAAAGAAGAAGAAGTCCTAAACATCCAGGACAAAGTCTTTATAGCGCGCAGGCTGTCTTATAGTTCGGGTCGACCTCCGCACAGGCCTTTCCGCTGCGTTATCTTCCTTTTCGGTAGAGTGCCCAGCTTGTACTTGGGAATTTTCAGATACTCCTGTAGTCCCTGGAATTCCGCTTGGCCCTGATACCTCTGTCGTCTCCGGAACTCTGCTTGGCCCTGGCTCATCCGTCTGTACTGTAGAACTTACTTGTACCACTTGGTCTTCGTTGCCATTGGATACACCGTTGTGCTCGTTGTACCTCTTTACGAACGCAGTGTTCCTTTTCAGTTGCACACCAGCTTCGTTCCTAAGCGTTACCTCTGTTCCTGTCCTCTGAACCACCTTAAAAGGAGCAGGGTTGAAGTTGGTAGACAGCTTGTTCGTTTTTTCGGCTTTCAAAAGTACCGTGTCACCAACACGTATGCTCTTGGGCGTGGCACCTCTCTTGAGATCTGCATAAGCTTTGCCCTTTAATTTACTTGACCAATCCCGCTCTCGCACTTCTTCGCCTGGCACCCCGACCGTCTCTCTCCTTAACTCTGGCAATTTGGACCTAACCTCGTGTCCAAACATCATGTAACAGGGGGTAGTCCCCGTCGTCGTTTGCGGAGTGGATCTGTACGCCATCAACCATACAAGCAATTCAGTTCTCCAGTTCTTTCCTTCTAAATGTGCAATCTGTAGACATTTAAGTAACGAGCGATTTTGGCGTTCCACCTCTCCATTACCTTGAGGCCACAACGGCGTCGTTTTCCTGTGCTCAATACCATTTGTGCGTAAATATGCTTCAAATTCTTCGGATACGAACTGGGGCCCATTATCTGTCCTTAAAGAGAACGGAAAACCGAATCTGGCAAACATGGGTGCAAGTGCTTCGATGACCTTGGCACTTGTTGTAGACTTCAGAATAGCAACTTCTAAGAAACGACTGTAGTAATCGACCACCACCAAAATACTCTCTCCTGTGGGTAGGGGTCCCAGCAGATCTGCTCCACAATCCTGCCAAGGAGCACTTGGAGGAAGAACGCGGGACATCGGCTCAGGAGGGTTAAATCCAGAAGTGACCTGGCAGCCATGACAAACTTTACAAAATTTCTCAACTTCCTTGTCCATTCCCGGCCACCAAACTTTACTACGGAGCCGATACTTCGTCTTCACTATACCCTGGTGCCCTTCGTGTGCCAGCCGCACCACCCTGTTGCGCAGGAGCTTGGGAACCACAATCCTTGTGCCGCGAAGCAATAGCTCACCATAGACGCATAATTCGTCCTTGACTTGTGCATACGAGGGAAGTGTACACCGGTCCCAGTCCCCTGACCTCACGCATTTCTTTACTATCGTCAATTCTTCGTCAAAATAGGAAGCTTCTTCAATTTCTGTAGGTGATAGAGCAACGGGTATACAGCTTATAGCAATGGCTCTGACAAAGTCGTAGTCTTCTCCATGGTCCACTTGATCCAAGGAGTTCAAACGGGACAGCGCGTCGGCTATATTTGTCTTCCCAGGGCGGTACACCACTTTAAAATCGTACCCTTGTAGTCTTAAGACCCATCTCTCTATTCGGGCGCAAGGCTTTGAAGTGCGCGAGTAGACACGCTCTAAAGGCTTGTGATCTGTTTCCAACTCGAAGCTCTGTCCGGAAACGTACATGTTGAACCGTTCACACGCCCAAACCAAGGCAAGTGCCTCTTTCTCTGTTTGGCTGTAGCGTCGTTCCACGTCAGTTAGGCTCCTCGACGCGTAGGAGACAACTCTCCACATTCCCCCCTGCTGCTGGGTGAGAACCGCTCCTAATCCAACTGGAGACGCATCGGCAATGATTCGCGTTTTGCAGCCAACCTTAAAATAAGCCAGTGTCTCTGCCTGGGTGATTAGACGCTTCAGTTCCTCAAAGGCTGTTTGCTGCTCTTTACCCCAGTGAAACACGATGCCCTTCCTGGTTAACTCTTGAATAGGCTTGGCCACGGACGCCACGTCAGGCATGAACTTAGCGGAATATTGGACAAGACCCATAAACGATCGCACTTCACTTGCGTCTTTGGGAGATCTAGCATCTCTTATAGCAGCAATCTTCTCTTCGGATGGGTTTATGCCGTCACTAGTCAGCTCGTGACCAAAGAACGTAAGCCTTGACAATCTAAACTCGCACTTGTCTCCGTTCACCGTCAACCCCACTTCACTCAGCCTATCTAACACCGCAAAAAGACGCTTGTCATGTTCCTCCACGTCACACCCATGAACAATGAGATCGTCCGCAATGTTCGCAACCCCAGCACAACCCCTTAACACATCTCTAATGATCTGCTGATATTTCTCCGGCGCCGACGTTACGCCAAACATCAACCGCTTGTAACGATAAAGCCCTCGATGCGTGACAAACGTAGTGATGTGGCGACTTTCCTCACTGAGTAAAATCTGGTGAAAACCCCACTTGAGATCTATCTTGCTGAACACCGTACTGCCATTCAAGTCGTGAAACAGCTCCTCAACGGTTGGAATTGGGTGACGCTCTCGGACGATTGCTTCATTTGCACGACGCATATCAACACAGACTCTTACGTCGCCATCGCCTTTGGGAACCACCACCAACGGCGAAATCCATCCTGACGGCCCCTCCGGCACTTCCTCTATAATGTCAAGCTCCAAAAGTTCATCCAGCTTTGCATCCACTTTCTCGCGTAACCCGAACGGTATCCTGCGTACATGCTGCGCTACAGGCTTCACCGACTCATCAATGTGTAGCTTAAGCTCGTAGCCCTTCAAAAGACCAACACCACTAAACAAGTGCTTGTATTTCTCTCTGACATCCCCGTCCGATCGCCCACCGTCAACACTGTTTGTCTGGAAAGGACCAATACGCAACAGGTTTAGCGCCTCGGCAGTCTCTCGGCCCAACAGCGTGCGACCATCGCCTTCAACCACTACAAAATCAGCATTACTTCCGTTTTGAAACCCAGCCAGCGTGACATCTGCCGTGAACGTTCCTAGGGTCGGTAAAGGTTCTGTACCACCATAAGCAAAAAGTTCCTTTGCAGATTTGCGAGACTCACAGTTAATCCCCTTCTGCTTTAACAACTCCCAGGCCTGCTGGCCCATAACATTACATGAAGCTCCCGAATCAATGAGAACATCGGGTACGTCTACACCACCAATGACCAGCGTTACCAAAGCGCTCCTTTGTTCCTTGCGATCATTCACCTGTTCCACTGAAAAGGCATAATCGGGTCTTTGCGAACGACCTGGTGTAGCGAAGTCTCCTTTGTCTTCTTCTCCAGGGCTAGGTCTTCCAGTCACGAGGTTCGTCTCTCGCCCTCCGCGTCCGCGTCCACCTCGACCCAGTCCACCAGCACTCCTGCCTCCTCTGCCGCCTCCGCCTCTGCTACTCTCAGGCCCTCTAGATCCCGAATGGGTCCTGCTTAGCTGATGGAGTCGAGGGCATTTAACTTTGAAATGGCCTGTTTCGCCGCACTTCCTGCAAGTTTGACCACGCGCCGGGTACTTTTTGTCTTGACTGAAGTGTCCTTCTTGTCCGCAGCTAAAGCACGTCTTTGCTTTCCTGGGATTTTTGTTTCCATACAGCCTGCCACCCACTGCATTGACCTGGTTATCTGCTTGGTCGGTACTGTATTGCTTCAGTTGTCGATCAACCGCTTCTTGGGATCTTGCAACACGCAACAATTCATCTAACGTAACAGTTCCTTCCTTTTCCAGAAATTTCCGGCGTAAATGGCTCGAATAACACTTGTCTATGAGCTGATCGCGAATGTAGTCATCCTCGCCGGCGCCAAAATCACAAGTCGCTGCTCGCTGACGCAATCTACAAACGAACTGATCAACTGTCTCTCCGATCCCTTGCGAAATTTGTCGAAACAAATGTCTCTCAAAGGGAATGTTCGCCTTTGGCACGAAATGGTCGTCCAACACCTTTAACGTTGCTTCAAAACTTGCATCTCCACCCTCACCAGCTAGTGTGAAATAAATTTCTTGCACATCCATACCAGCGACATGCAACAGCAAAGCACGTTTTTGACCGTCGTTCGATACACCTTTCCCGGTCACATACAAACTGAACGCTCGCTTCCACTTCTTCCATTGCTGACTTAAATTGTGCGCCTCTCCGTTTGGATTAAATGGTTCCAATCCACTGACATCTAAAGTAACAGAAGTCATCCCAGAACCGCCAACAGCATCGCTCGTAGTACCGCTTGTCGCGTTAGTTTCGCCCGATCCACCGCCTCCCGGCATCGCTGAAATAAATCCTTGACGAAATCCTCGACGAAATCCACAGCGAAATTTTCAACGAAACTCTTGAAACCCTCGGCGAAATCCTCGAAATATCCTCGAAATATCCTCGAAATATCCTCGAAGTATCCTCGTCGCCAATGTAGTACCGCGGTTAGGTTAAAACACACTTTATTCACGACCGTTACACTCCGAACTCAGAACGCTAACCCACTCGAATAAATTACAACGCACGCTATCTATAGTACATGCAAATTACGTAATTCCCGTGTGTATTACATCACATTCATTCTCTCGCTTCTACGCGCTTGCATTAGCATCGTATACACTACACTTGTGTTTATCTTCCTCCCGATCATTTCATGTTTAAATTTGATCTCAAATCTGGCTACCACCATATTGATATTTTGCAGGATCATCAAACTTTTTTAGGGTTTTCTTGGGTTGTTAATGGCGTAAGGAAATTTTTTGGGTTACAGTACTCCCTTTTGGGCTCTAATCAGCTCCTTATATTTTCACTAAGGTTGTTCGTGTTCTCGTCCGATATTGGAGAAGTCATGCTGTGAGAATAACAGTTTACCTTGATGACGGGCTTGGTTCCGCCCGTGATTTCGCTCGCTGCGAAGCTGCTTCATTATTTGTTAAGACTTCGCTTCAGCTTTCTGGTTTCCTGCCTAATGACAGTAAATCGATTTGGCAACCAACTTCTTGTTTAGTCTGGTTGGGTTATTGTATTGATTTAGCCGTTCATACTATTTCCATTCCTTCGGTTAGGATTCTCAGTGTCGTACAGGTTATTGATTCAATTCGTTCTCAGTATCCTTCTAGTACTGCCAGAAAATTGGCTCAGTTTGTCGGTAAGGTTATCTCTATGGGTTTTGTCTTTGGTAACGTTACTCGTATTATGACAAGGTATTCTCCTTTTGATATTTTAAGAAGCCCTACATGGGACGAAAAAATTTCCCTGTCGGGTTCAACTGTGAAGGAATTATATTTTTGGAAAGAGAACATTCCTTCCCTAAATAGTAGGCGCCTCTTGTCTACACAGTTCCATTATTCCCGTGTGTGTTATTCCGATGCGAGTTCTACAGGCTGCGCCAGTTATATGTTAGATCTTCACAACACCATTTCTCACAAGTTGTGGAGTGTTGATGAGGCGCAGAAGAGCTCCTCTTACAGGGAACTTAAGGCCGTTTCCCTGGGTCTAGAATCTTTTTTGCCTTTACTTAAAGGGCGCACTATTAAGTGGTATACTGACAATCAGAGTGTTGCTAGAATCGTTGAAGTAGGAAGCATGAAGGAAGATTTGCAATGCTTAGCTTTGCGTATTTTTAGTATGTGCTTGCTCAGTTGCATCACATTGGAAATCGAATGGATTCCGAGATCGGCTAATGATAGAGCTGATTTTTTGAGCAGAATTGTGGATTATGATGATTGGCGGGTCAACAGGGACCTTTTCCTTTTGGCCGAAGAGAAATGGGGTCCTCACTCTGTGGACCGGTTTGCGAATCATGAGAATACTCAGTTGCCCCGTTTTAATAGCAGGTTTTGGTGCCCTGGTACAGAGGCGGTTGATGCCTTTTCTGTTTCTTGGGCGGGCGAGAATAATTAGCTCGTTCCACCTATTTTTCTCATCCCCAAGGTCCTTAATCACATGGTTGCCCTTGGCGGTCGCGCTACACTTGTTATTCCTGCTTGGCCTTCCGCCCCATTTTGGCCTTTAATTTTTACTGACGAGGGTTTGTCTCCCATATTCTCTGATATTTTTGAGATCCCCTTAGGTACTGATGTTTTCGTTTTGGGTAACTATAAAAATTCCCTGTCTGGACCACCTAATTTTCGTTCAGGGGTTTTGTTCTTGCGGTTTTCCTAGAGAGGCCGTAGTTAACCCCCCCTTTTTTTCAGTCTTGTAGGGGGTTTTTTCTCTGCAGTTTATAGAGTTCTTACGCTCATACCACATGGTATCCGAGTGTTTTGGGATGCACTTGGATCCTTGCTTTGTGGACCACTTGGTCTTTTTTATTACGCAAGGGCCACTTTGGCCCTTAGTGGTAATATTTTTCTGTGTTTTTCTTGGGACCACTTGGACCCAACCTTGCCTTGTTTCACTACGTGTTGTATTTTTCTGACATATTTTTTCTTTGGTCATTTTTGTCATTTTATTTTCTCTATTTTTTGCTTCAGATGTTAAAGCAGCTGCCAGTCGGACGTTTGGCGTTTTACTTTGTGAGAAGTTTTAGCTCTCTGCCTTTAATTCTCGAGCTGATAACACAGTTATTAATTATTGTAAATCATTTTGTAAGTTTAAAGCGTGGTGCTTACAGAGCACTGGGGAGGTTTCTTTTCTCCCAGCTACTTCCTTCACAGTTTCCTTGTATTTGCATCATTTATTAGAAAATTCGTTAGGTAGTTCCACCATTTACGGCGTTTTTTACGCTATTAACTGGGTACATAAGTTATCAGGTTTTGAGAATCCCAATCCGTATGACAACTTTCTCGTCAGGTCTATTGTTGAGGCTTCCACTCGTGCTCCTCGTATACCTGTCAAGAAGGCGGAGCCCATTACCCCAGAGATCCTTGGCTTAATTTTGCAGCATTATGGGGAAAGTATAGTAGTAACTTACTTGATATCCGGTTTGTCTGTATGTGTTTACTCGTATATGCTGGCTTTTTCGGCATCTCCGAGCTTTTAAGCATTAGGAGATCTAATATTGTAACTGAAGATCTCTATTATAAGATTTTCATAGAAGTTAGCAAGACTGATAGGTACAGAGAGGGTCCCTGGGTTTATATTGCCAAGACAGGCAATTTTACTTGCCCTTATACATACCTTATTAAGTACTTAGAAGCTGCCAGGATTCCTTCTTTTTCTCAGAATTTTATTTTCAGATCCTTACGGTACGACAAGGATTTCAAGGGCAATGTCTTGTCTTCAAAGCCCCTCACTGCTAGCAGGGCGGGAGAAATTCTTAAGGGGAAGCTGAAAGCTATTGGGTTAGACCCTTCTAAGTTTAGTAGTCACAGCTTTAGGTCCGGAGGAGCTACTTCCGCTGCCAATCTGAATGTTCCAGATCGGCTTTTCAAAGTTCACGGAAGGTGGAAGTCAGATTCAGCTAAAGACGGCTACGTCCACGATAAAGTCGACTCGCGTCTTTATGTTCCTTTGCACATTGGAATTTAATTTATTCACTTTTGGCAGAGTGGGTTTAGATTCAGTTTGTATTTTTCCTATCATTTATACTTCTGTATCATGTAAGTTGTGTTTGTTAGGAGGTCGTATTATACCACTGCCGACCTATTCCTCCTATACAATAAATTCATTGTTGTGTATTTGCTTGTGTGTGTTTCATTATTACAGAGTTTAGAGCATAAATAATTTATTTTCGGTACGCAGTTTAGAAAATAATGAGATTTAAGAGAAACATAATTAACTTGTTTCCCTGGGTGAGATATAGCACACAAAGAAAAACCTATGTGAACAAATTTTTGAAAGTAAACATCAGCAAGCCGTCACTAATTTCATACATTTTGCAATGGAACCTACTTAGACACTTTTGGCGGGAAACAGTCTATTTCTAGGCCTAGGTGTCACGTGACTTCCACGTAACCAATGAGAGCGCGCGATCTTGGGCAAAATATTCCAGCTCTTTGATTAAATGCCTTAATCCTGGACCAGTTAGAACTCTATTATACCCTTAGTAACTATAGTTACTTACAGTGAAATTGTCCATATATCTATTCTTCTGAGAGGCTTTATTTATCAAATGCTCAAGTAAAAGACCCACCTGTTTTAGTGGCGCGAGTTATATACACCAGAGGTCTGTCCAAGGCATAGTGGCGATCAAAACTGATAATTATAACGTTGACAAATGATAAACCAACTGTCAGCACTTGTAAAGTGTAATACACATCAAACACCAGAAATTGATGTAGACATGACTGTCGGGCTCTTTGAAAAAATAGTCGCCACACAATAAACATGGGCTGGACGATAACTCCCGTGAGGAAATCTGCAAAGGCCAGGTTACTCAGTAGAATGTTGCACGGCTTCTGTAAGGAAGGGGTCTTGATTACTGTGACAATGATGACCACTGGTTGCTAAGAAATGCAAATATGGCAAGAGATCCGTTGACAGTTACGAGTATCACATGACGAGATTCATAGAGGTTTGAAATCGTAGACCCCTGCTGATGTTCGCCTATTCAATAGGCGAACATCAGCAGGGGAGCTATGTAGAAGTAATCAACTTTTTACGGCTCATTTGCTTGGAGGTGACAAATTCTCATATCAACTGAATTCCTGTACGTCAACAAGATTTCGGTTCAACAAAGAACTCAATTACAAATTAGCCGCATTGGAAGTCTTTCTGCCGAACCGGAATGCATTTGCCTCTGTAGTGGCTTCTCTTAAAATTTATTGTACTTCGAGAAAAGTGATTTTACGCACTTCTTGCTGGGGAATTTTCTATTGTATATTTTGTTTACTTGTATTTATTAAACACTGAGGGCCAGTTATTTAGCTGGTATATTACAAAATCGCGTTATAATTAAGCCATTTTCAGTTTAACCAACGCTTTTATCAAACCCCATTTATCGTGAATAATTTCAATAAAGCACATAAGGCAGACTGGAAAACTAAAGCACTTATTTTCTTAAACTAACCCACCAAGAAAGAGGGCTGGAGATCCAATGATTTCTGAAACCTCGGCCTAAGGTAACCCGTAATGGTTTGAAAGTAATGTCACTCTATTTTCTTTTTGCCTCTCTCGCAAGTTAAAGTGAGAGTTCACAGAGACTGTGCGGTTTCCTCGAGTGCGTTTTAGAAGCTGCCTTAACGAAAAGGTTACTACACTACCGGAATTAAAACATCGTGGAAATTATTAATTTAAAGCCGCGGAGTATTTTCCCCAACAACGTAATATTACCTCTAACTTTCTGCGATAACGCTGCAAAATTTTTTAGGTTATTTTTCAACCGAATAGGTTGCGAATTTAATGCGATGATCATTTTCACTTTCATACCTTCATCCGCATTTCATATATTTCAATTCATGCTTACAAGATCTCCCTAATTTTATGTCTGAACGCAAGGCTTTTTAATGGAATCTTCATTCAAGGCCAAAACTAACACTAAGCGCTAAACAGAAACTGCCTTATGAAAAAACTTTTAAAATTGACGCGCTGTTTTAAAGGCCTCACTGGATCTGGATGGGGTTAAATACAAACGTAAGCAAAACATTACTTTTGCAATATTTAAATAATGTCTAAAAAATAATGCTTCCCTCTGAGATACCTGGCGAATAAAATTCTCACAGGGCCACAGCCTAAACAGGCTAAGCTGCTCTGTTGAATCAGGAAGGCCAAACTTTTTTTCTTAATGCTGGACAGAGATTAAAGCAACATCTAAAAGCGCGTTGTTAGTTCCCTCTGAGACACCCGGAGAATAAATTCAAAAGGCTAAGCTGCTCTGTTGAATCAGGAAGGCCAAACTGTTTTACTTAATGCTAGACGGGGATTCAAAAAATATCTGAAAAGCGAGTTTTTAGTTCCCTCTGAGACACCCGGGGAATAAAATTCTCACAGAGCCACAGCCTAAAAAGGCTAAGCTGCTCTGTTGAATCAGGAAGGCCAAACTGTTTTACTTAATGCGGGACATGCACTATCATCTTCACGGATCTAATTAGTGCAAAATTAAATAAAGCTGTAATCTGTAAATCAATTTTTGGTTTATGAAATTTTACTCACTTTTACCGACAGTTGATAGCCACTGGCTTTGGCAAAATAAATTTTCCTCTTTTCTTTAAAGGGATTCGATAAAATTGAAAATATCCACTACGATCCACACTTAAAAACTGAACTCTGACTGAATTGAACTGTTTGCGATCAGGCTTAAGAAATAGCGATCTCCATCAACATTCTCCATGAACATTACACTTTCACATCATTAGCAGTTATTGAGAATTTATGAAATGATCGATTGATCAGTGTCGACCTTAAAACGTTTTTGCGCTAAAATGATAATAGGTAGCCATTTGAAGGTGATACAAAGGAACCTAAAATAGACT